AAAAAAAATATATATATATATATATATATATATTCTTTCCTAGCTATCAAGATGGAAAACAACCACATCATTAATTCAGAGGGGGGGTAAACCAAGTTAATGAGACTCCAAGACCCATGCTAATTGCTGACCAAGTAATGCCACAATATTCCATGGCTAAGGATCTCCGACTTGTTCCAGTCCCTAAAAATCTGTTCCGCACAGTTAATATTTCACAAAACCAAAAGGGCTTAGTTGCAAGCACAAAGAGCTAGAAATCAGGAGACTTGTGGTTTCTATTGAGTTCTGACATTATCTGTCTAATAAGATAAATAAGTCACTTTTCTGTATCTCAGTCTCCACATTTGTGAAGTGAGGGAAGAGAAACATGTCCTAAAAACCAAGCAGGGGCTCTGGAAAGAAAAAGAGCTAAGAAGGGTGGGTTTTTATTAAAAGTTACACAAGTTAATGGTTTTTGTCTCCATTTATCTGAAAGTGGGTTAAAAATAGCTTCCAAATAAAGCAAAAAGAATTTATTTAGACTAAACTGCACCGGAGAAGTAGAGAAATTAAGAGATATGACAAGCAAAGATGGGATGTTTCAGTGGAAGACTCTCAGGGAGTAAAAAGGCTATGCTGTAAAACCAGAACTTTTGTTAGCACTGCTTTTTTAAGATGAATTGGTCATAGTTAATGTATTGGATGGAAGAATTTTTAAACATCTGCCCCCAAAGTACGCTGCATCCAAAAAAATATATAACGAAACGAATTCTTACTCATTTGAGTTTATTCTTGGACTTATCTTGACATAATGGGGTTTTTAAAATTATAGACTCATACTGCATTTATTCATCACCCCTGTCCTCTCATCCATAACTCAAATTTACTACCAGCAACACAAAATACAAAGATGTGTCCAGTTTCACTACAGCTCTTCGTGTTTACAAGTGTCGAGCGCTTGCTTTCGGAACGCCCTTCTGATTGGCCGAGCCAATGCCAGTGACATCAACCAACTTACTTTTGATTGGAAGGCTGGTTGCTGGGACTGTAGCGTTTGCAGGAAGTCACTTAACTGTTTGGGAGCTGGAAAACCGAAGCTGAAGTTCTCTTTTGCCATAGGAACGAGCGCAACTGACTAGGGAAGATGTGTCCCAGAGCTCCGCAAGCTGGAACGTGAGCCAGGAGGCCCGGACCGACCACCGGACCGCGAGGCACTCCGAAAGTGTGCGGCTGCTCCTTCCCTGCCTCCCAGCTGTTACCCTTTTAAATGTCAGTGTTCGAGGCTGTAGGGGTAGCACGAGGCAGTGAAACGGAACAGTCGGATTGGCCGCACGCCTCAGTTCTAGACGCACCTCTCCACTGAAAGGCCGTTCTGACTGGCAGGGGGAGAAAGTAAACAGAGTTGAATCACCCTCCCCACTGGCCAATTGGAGGGGGTTTGGTTTGTGACGTGATGGGATTCTGCGAAATTGTTACTGAGCAAGAGAATGCCGGAACGGTGCGGACCGGCCGGAGCAGGGGCTCAGAAGCCGTCAGTGGACTCGGGAAAAAGTGTCTCTTAGACCTGGCGCTCGGCGGGGCCCTCGCCACCCGCGTCGGGGTGATCGGGTGAATGTCCTGGGGCTTTGGCTCGACGGAGAGGCAGCCGAGGGCGTGCACCTCTCTTGCAGTTTCCTCTCCCAGCGCCTCGGGGGCGTTTTCAGTCGAATAAACTTGCGACCGCCACGTGTGGCATCTTTCCAAGGGAGCCGGCTCAGAGGG